TGTAACAAAGTGAATTTCCTAGCTAGATCTGTTTATTGGACCCAAACGGGATTTCCCTCAGTTTTTAGGCCTTCGACCTTGATGCCGAAGGTGGCCCGTTGTAGGGTGCGGGCTGTCTAGCACTTGGGCCGATGTGCTTGGGTCGCCTGTGTTTGTTGGACCTATTTTAAGAAGGAGGTGTATATGGACTGGGGGTTCCAAGGCTATATAGTACTCCATCAAAGACTTTCAAATAATATATATACTTCATCCATCCCTTAGAACTTAACCATATTTGACCGACACGTGGATTATTAAAATAAAAATGTGTGGTTGAGTTTTGTGCAGAGAAGAGTGAATTAAATGGAACTACAAATTTTTTACTTTAAAGAGAAAGTGGAAAAGTTAGTGGAACAATCAAAAGAGGAAAATTGGAAAAGTTTTAAGGGACGGACGGAGTGGTTGTATTTTTAAAGCAACACCTTGCCAAGAACCTTGTGGTTCAATGACATTAATTATTGTGACACTCACAAAGAGGAGATCACATTTGGAAAGTCACTGCAGTCAAAGATGTTGACATTTTACATTGAATACATAATATAAGATACTAGAAAGTCCAGCCAAAAAAGCAACATCAAGTAAACTCTTATAGAGAGCAGTAAACTATGTAACCTAATCTGATCTACTTCTCGAGTTGGGGGGCAGAGAAGGGTAAGAACCCTAGCAGTCTCCCTTCTCTCCTCTTCATGTCACTAGAGGAAAAAACATGTTTTGCGGCGCTTTTTTTTACCCACGTGCGGTGCTTTTCGGCGCCACATAATCTGGTGCCACAAGAAATTAAATAATTTTGCGGTATCTATGGTTTGTGTATTCCTTGTTGGTGAAACTGATCGGGCATTTAGAAAATTTATTGTTGGCGGATGGCAATTCTTGTCCTACTTGGCATCAGCGACTCTAAGATCTCAATTATTCGCCCTCCTCTTGAACCACCGTTATGCTATATGAGAGAAAGATAATGCTCAGTTGGATCTTTTCGTTGGCTAGTAGGGTCCTCTTTTAGCATGTGAATTAGGTTAAATAGAACAGGGCCCCACTACCCATGGCCCCATATTTTTAATGAACTAGTAGTATTATTATTTTAGGCCACTAAAGTTAATTAAGTAATTAATAACATATTTTTATGAATAGTGTATACTATCATATATGAGTATTGGTTGCGGCTAATTTGGTATTCTACTACTCTGTTTTGTATAATAGTTCCCTTGTAAGTTGAAATACTTTACATAAAATTGTAGAGATTAATTATTTAAATGGGAAAAATTGATATGTTCTTTAATTTTAGGGACGGAGTTAGTATTGTTAATGACGTGGCACTACATTATTTTTATGTGATTTTCAGTTTCAAGTGGGATCATGAACACCCTCTTCGTACATTTTCAGAGGCCTCGTGCAACCATGTTTCATATTTATTTTTCGATTTTTGCAATAATGCAGAAGTTTTTCTTTTATTACCACCTTAACCGCAGGCATGCAGTTTCAAATTAATTTATCGTTTAAATTAATACTGTTTAATCCAACAATTGAAGACATGATACTTTATAACAACAAAAAACTAAGGAGTATAATACTGTATACAATTATTACATCGATTCTATACACGTGTTTTTACATTTTCTTTTCAAAATTTTGCGTGTTCACCTGGACACTTTTGAAAAAGGGGCCGATTCTGCCCCTCACATGGACTAATTACAATATCATAATTGAATAATTTAAAGAAATAAATGATGAAATGATAATTTAAAAAAACCAAAGCAATGTTAGCATTTAGAACCAAGATTTTTTTTTTCAAAATTTAACTTAATAAGTCCTATTATGGAGAGAAAACTTAACTATTGCATTATAGATTTTAAAAAAAAATCTCTTTTCTAATACTACGTATATATATACTTGAAGAAATTCCACTTTTGGTCCTCCGAGTTTTGCACCAATTCCACAATTAGTCCACGTCTTTCACTTTATCCATTTTAGTATTTGACTATTGTTTTCTTGACCACTGGGCCGGACTGGACCGGTACAAATAATATTTTTAGAAAAAATTATACACGAAATTTTTTAGCTAAAAAATTAAGTCATTTTTAAAATTTGGGTGGGTCATGGCCTAGGTTGGCCCACCCCTAGCTCCGCCCACGCGTCCATGCATATATAGTCCGTTTCCGGTACAAAAAATGTCCAGAGATGGACCGAAAATGGTCAAAAAAACAATAGTCAAGTATAAAAAATGGATAAAGCGATAGACGAGGACTAAATATGGAAATGATACAAAACTCGGAGGACCTAAAGTGGAATTAATTCTATATACTTAGTACTTCGTATAAAAAAATTGGTACTCCTCGATTTGAGAAGCATCTAATACTTCGTAACTAGGCCGAACCATCTTCCGGACACCTCGATTTGAGATGCTTCCGAGTGGAATTTTTTATGAAATTTTGTGAATACGTTTTTTGTGAAATTTAGATTAAACTCTAAAAATTTGTTCTAAAACACTTTATTTTTTATATGTATTTTGAAGCATTATTTTTCAATAATTATTTATCTAAATTCCCGATTAAATTTTGAGCTGAGATTTTATGTATAATCTGCCCTTGATGAAACTGATAGAATATCACCATTCACCCAAAAAAGTATCACCAAAAACGCACTGATCATTGGCTTTTTAAGCCCGTGACGAACGAATGTAGGCGACGTAAATGGCATTAAGTTTGGAAGAAACTGGTACGTACCTCAATTTCTGGGGGCAAATGTACGCCTCAATCATATACGAAGTATTTTCTCTTATGACTTTCAAAAAATATAATTGACCAAGAAAGTTTTGGGTCTAAAAAACTCCCGCATTGAAATTTCAATTTTTTTAATACGTAATACTTTTATATAATATTGCTGTCATTCGAAAGATCATAAAAATTGTGAATTTTGATATATTTTGTCTAATGATTGGACTACAAATAAAAAATTTATAACTAACACTTTAAAGAAAAATATATATAGGATTTTACGTTTTTTCAGTGAATTCGAATGAACTAATAAAAAATAAAAAAACTCATTTGGAATCACCAATTTGGAATACCTCTTTGACGAATTCCTAGAAAGTAGAAACCATAAAAGATTCCCCTTATTTTGCAGTCCTCGATGTTGGCTTTTTTCTGTATTTTAAGATTACTTCCCACAATAGCTGTTCATTCAATTCGATCCATCAGACACATGCGTAATCATTAAAAACATACGGAGTATATGTTTAATGAAGGATGGAATGGAAGGGGTTAACATGGAGCTAGTAAATTCTCCAAATATAACAAAAACATGAGTTAAAATGCAAAAATATGAATCGTTGCTTTAATAAATTCTCTAAATATGAGTAGTAAATTGACTAAAATCTACTACATATCAGTTAGCCATGCATTCATGATTCATATAAGAACGTTTAGTAGATAAATGTCACATTCCCCTGCATTTACGATCGAGACATGAAGTTCCTTATTATTGGACAAATTCACCATTAGTAGTGAAGAAATGTTGGCCAAAGATATGGCCAAATTACAACAGCGCCTGACCAGTAATAAATTGTTATAGCCATGGGTGGAGACCTGAAGACTCGAAATATTTATAAGCACTAAAAAATATAAAAAATATTGAAATTTTAAGTTTGGCTCCACAAAGTAAATTTTTTAAGCTCGGCCACCTAACTTATCATTTCTGGCTCCACCACAGGATAATAAGGGTCTGTTTGCAACTGCTTTTAAAAAACCACTTCTCAGTTTCTGGCTTTAAAAAACACTTATTTTCCCAAACACTACAACTTTTATTTTTCTCGGCTTCCACGTCAAAAGTGATTTTACTTTTTCTATTACACAAAAAACACTTATTTTACCAAACACTACCCACTTTTACTTTTCAAAATCACTTTTTTCTCAAACACGATCAACTTTTATTAAATCACTTCTCCCTATTTCATTAAAAAAAACACTTTTTAAATAGTAGAAGCTGTTGCAAACAGACCCTAACTCACGTTGAATACATGCAAGGATATACTGGTGGCCTGGTGGGATATATAAGTCGGGTATTTTGCCGACAAATGGGGCATGGCTCACCCTGTGTTCGGTAAGTCGAGTCAAGTTCTCCACGCCAGAGATGTCGCGAGACAGTGACCCGGTCTTGCAAATTATAATCAGGCTCAACTATTTGTCATGAATTCGAGCAAATTATAATTAGAGATTGCAATTTCGGCCGACCCGTTGGATACCCGCACCGAACCAATTTGGTCAAACTGGGGAAAACCGGTTTGACTGGGGAATGGGTACGGAGCAGGGAATACCCGAATTTCGTAAATGGATAATGGTGCGGTTATGGTTCTATACTAATCCTCCCCGTTATCCGCCCCGAAACCGCCCCGTTCACTAATGGTGCTGGTACCCGCACATTTACCCGATCCGTAACATTATTAATAAATTATAACTTTGTATATATAAGAATAAGAATTATATATGCTAAATTGTGTATACTAAATTGTATATATCATATAAGTATATAAAGAATAATACACCAGAGGCCCACTTAAGAAAACCCTAACAATTTTTGCGAATTAGGCCTAAACATTGTTTTTGCGAAGGATTACTACTTTTTTAGGCCTAAAACTAAATATAGGCCTTAACCAGTTTTTGGAATTTGTATTCTGAGATGATTACTACTTTTATTATGTTACAAAGAGATTGTTGGGATATATTATCCCGGCCTATTACTGTTCAAGAGCCCAAGATATTATCCAGTACAGAGCCTGAACAGTTAGGACCATTTCGGCCCATCCGGCCCACTTTAGCCTTTGGGCCTGTTTCGGCCCACTTGGCCCATTAGGGTGGAGAGTACTTCCCATCCCCTTTCCTTATAAATATGGGGGTTTCCCTCCATATGAAGGATCCCCTTTTTCCTCCTTCTTCATCCTTCTTCTTCTCTAGATTATATAATACTCCATTAATGGGAGCTTCAAGCTTGTATAATGTAATGGTGAGGAGAGCCTAATGAGAATTGAGAGGGCTTGGACATTAGCCTAAAAAGTCCCGTGGTTTTCTCCCTTTCGGGTTTCCACGTAAAAACTGAGTTGTTCATACACATTTATACATATATTTACTATATCGTGTTGGATTAAACTCAACACTGGCGCCGTCTGTGGGAATCTGTCCAAAAAGATTCACGTTGTTCTTCATTTCTGAAAAAAAAATCATTCGAAGATTTGACTGTTCTTCAGCAAAGAGGAAGAAGGGAAAGGAGGATTTTGGAAGATTTGGGCTGTCTGGATTTTTCTCTGTTTAGCTGCCGCCGCCGGAGCATCGCCGCCGCCGGAGCATCTGCCAAATCTCCGCCGTGTAACGTCAGAAGCTCTCCGAGCCAGCCGCGGTTCGCCGCACCGCCGGAAGATCAAAGACGGTGGTCGCACCTCCGTCTGGTCAGTCGCTGCTCAGGGCTCAACCTCGCTGCCGACCCAACTCGGGGGATTTTCCGACCAGACACATCCTTGGTTTCCGCCATTAATGGTGGTTTCGAGCTCATAAGAGGGGTTTAGCAATTTCGGTTAAGCTTCCACCGGGGAGTAGCTTTTCTGGCCGTCCTTGCAACGCTGCGACCCCATCTCCCCCGGCAGAAGGTGGCCGGCACGGACGGGCTGCGTCTGGTTTGGTAGGAAGGTGCTCCACCTGCCCTTTCTAAGAGATGCACTCCGCACATGATGCCTTGGTCTAAGGCAGGCCACGTCCGAGAAACAGAGGCCAGACAGTGGAGAGCCAATGTCCTTGAAGGAATTTTGACCAAGTCAAGATTGGGGAAAGCTCACCTTTCTCTACTTTATGATATCAGCTGGCCGAACCCCATAAAGCTAAGTACCCACACTTTAGATTGGAACATTTATTTGTTTATTTGTTGATGCTATAGAATAATTTTCCTGCTATTGGTTAAATTATTTTTATCACCATTATTTATTAGGGGTAAAACCCCCCGAAATTAAATAATGTGGAGCGATGCTCTAGTGATAATTATTTTCACCATCATTTTAATTAAAATGATGGGTTATTGTGGGCTCGTAGGCCCGCTCCCAATCGGCTTTAATTAGCGAGCGGAGCTTACCTGAATGGCCTTTGATAGGAAAATATCATTGCTATTACCTGTTACGTCACCATTATTTATTAGGGATAAAAATGTCCCGAATTAAATAATGTGGAGCGAAGCTCTAGTGATGGTTGGTTCAGCCAACATTTTATTGGATATTTAATTTCTTGTGGGCCCGATTGGCCCACTCTCGATCGGCTTGATTAAGCGATTTGAGCGTCTCCAGAAGGGCGATGCCCCGACGACGCATTTTAATTGGGGGGTTACGCATTGGTCCGCACGGCACCAAGTGCCCGAGCGACGATCGTACCCTAGTACCATCTGCGCCACTAGGCGAAGTGACCGTGCCAAACGTGGCCTGTGGGGCCCGAGGGCACCGAAGTGCTCAACCTCATTTTTCGAGGGTAGTGCGACCAACTTGGGTCTGAGTTTGAAAACTCACGGACCGGTGAATATTTCTATGTGACGTTCGGCGGGCTGCTAATTGGCCCCGCCGCGAGCTACTACGTCCATTAACCCCGCACGATGAGCCGGGTCGAGGGTCACGATGACCCATAGGCCGGTAATCGTGGGTGTTAGAGGGAAGCCACGATGACCCATGCAGATGGTTATGTGTGCATATTTATTGTTGGGCCATGTGGCCGTTACCATGCTTATTGCGCAGCTGAAATCACTCGACGCGCTCGAGTGAAATGATTAAAAGACGCTCGGCCCGAGTCTTGAAGACGTTCAGGGCCAGCTAAAGAGGAGACCATCACGGCGGAGGACCGTGAGACGAGCATCTCCACCCTAGAGACCGATGGCCTAGGAGAGAACACCTAGAGGCCGAGGACTATAGTGGACTACCACGGCGGAGGACCGTGAGACGATCATCCATCATTCAGAGGCCGAGGGCCTAGAGGAGACCATCACGGCCGAGGGCCGTGAGACCATCCTGATTTTCAGGTCGGCCTCTCATCGCCGACATTATCATACCACGACCGGCCCCTCGGCTCGGCGTGTTCATCTTTTGAAGACCGGTCTCGTCCCCGCGCTGCGCGGATGAGGACCGTTGCTTGGTTCTTTCATGTCGGCCGCTCATTGCCGACACCATTATACCACGACCGGCCTCTCGGACCGGCGTGATGATCATATTCGAAGACCGGCCTCGTCCCCGCCACCTCGTGGACGAGGACCGTTGCTTGACCATATCTTGATCGGCATCTCATTGCCGACATTATCATACCACGACCGGCCCCTCGGCTCGGCGTGTTCATATTTGAAGACCGGCCTCGTCCCCGCACTGCGCGGATGAGGACCGTTGCTTGTTTTCTCAGATCGGCCTCTCATTGCCGATATCGTCATATCACGACCGGCCTCTCGGCTCGGCGTGTTCATATTTGAAGACCGGCCTCGTCCCCGCCCTCGCGGACGAGGGCCGTTGCTTGATTTTCTCAGATCGGCCGCTCATTGCCGACACCATTATACCACGACCGGCCTCTCGGACCGGCGTGATGATCACATTCGAAGACCGGCCTCGTCCCCGCCACCTCGTGGACAAGGACCGTTGCTTGACCATATCTTGACCGGCATCTCATTGCCGACATTATCATACCACGACCGGCCCCTCGGCTCGGCGTGTTCATATTTGAAGACCGGCCTCGTCCCCGCACTGCGCGGATGAGGACCGTTGCTTGTTTTCTCAGATCGGCCTCTCATTGCCGATATCGTCATATCACGACCGGCCTCTCGGCTCGGCGTGCTTATCTTTTGAAGACCGGCCTCGTCCCCGCCCTCGCGGACGAGGGCCGTTGCTTGATTTTCTCAGATCGGCCGCTCATTGCCGACACCATTATACCACGACCGGCCTCTCGGCTCGGCGTGCTTGTCTCTTGAAGACCGGCCTCGTCCCCGCCACCCCGCGGACGAGGACCGTTGTTTGATTCTTTCAGGTCGGCCTCTCACTGCCGACACTATCATGTTATGTTCGGCCTCTCGGCACGACATATTTATCTTTTGAAGACCGGTTTCATCCCCGCGCTGCGTTGGATGAGAGCCGTTGCTCGGATATATCGGCCTGACCGGACACTATTGCCATCTCCATTATCAGGACCGACTGCTCAGCGACATTATGATCATTGTATATCGGTTCCCAATGCCGACCTTCTTGAGTCAGCGATCGGGCTTACCCCTCCCCTCCAGGAGGGTGACCATCGCCTTCGCATGACGACCAGCTATTCCGTCGCCCCGTCATTTTATTCGTGTTGGTATGCCACCACCATTATGTGTGACATCCCGTGATCCCTGCGAGTTTCTTGGATACCGAATGTCTTCTTCGATGTAGGAAGATCGGTAGGACCACGGACCAGGGACGAACGAAGCGCCAGGGAATCTCGATGCAGATAAACCTGTTCCTCCTTGCGATGTCTGCGGATACCGAACGTCTCCTCGAAGTAAGGGCGCCGGTAGGACCAAGGACCAGGGACGAACGAAGCACCAGGGAATCTCGATGCAGATAAACCTGTTCCTCCTTGCGATGTCTGCGGATACCGAACGTCTCCTCGAAGTAAGGACGCCGGTAGGACCAAGGACCAGGGACGAACGAAGCGCCAGGGAATCTCGATGCAGATAAACCTGTTCCTCATTGAGATGTCCGCGGATACCGAACGTCTCCTCGAAGTAGGAACGCCGGTAGGACCAAGGACCAATGACGAACGAAGAATATAGATTGCCTCCCTCAAACAAAAAAAAAAAAAAAAAAAAAAAAAAAAAAGAAGATGGGGAGAAGAGGAGGGTAGCTCCTATGTGGAAGGGAATCTTGCCCGGGTGTGCCAGATCTTCTCCCACCGCCGAAGACGAACGCCTCTCGATGTAGAGGTTAGTAGAGACGTGGAGGGGGCTAGACGAACCAAGGGAGCCTGCCAAGATAAACCTGTTTATCCCACAAATGACCATGGATCGATGGACGTGGGATAACAAAGACGGGAACCCGTGAGGGTAAACCAGTTCGTCCCTGCGAGTTCCTTGGGTACCGAACGTCTTCTTCGATGCAAGAGACGCCGGTAAGACTAAAAGGACCAGGGACGAACGAAAAAGGGAGGGAATCTCGATGTAGATATACCTGTTCCTCATTGCGATGTCCGCGGATACCGAACGTATCTTCGATGTAAGAACGCCGGTAGGACCAAGGACCAATGACGAACGAAGACCAGAAGACTCCAAAAAAAAAAAAAAAAAAAAAAAAAAAAAAAGATGCCAGAAGAGCACGGAGCAAAGAATGATTTTATTCCTTGGCACTATTGGCTGTGAAGTACAAACTGAAAAACATATGTAAAGAATAATTACAAGACTTAAGTACGAAGAATGAAGTGGCCGACGACGATCGGCTAACATCAGGGTTTCTTTTGCCTCGAATGACGATTAGCTCCCCAGATCAGGTAGAAGGGACATCGCCCAGATTTATTTCAGGCTCACCATTCCTTCCCGGATGGAGTCCTGGCAGACGATCGGCTTCTCACAGTCAATCAGGAGAGAGACTTGACACATCACCAGCACGGCCGAGGGCCGTGGGACGATTACCACTCACCGACAGGCCGAGGGCCATGAGATGATCATCACTATTTTTCTGTATCACGGTTCGGCTCGCCCATTCCCTCCAGGATGGCGACGACCGTCCTATGCAGCACGATCGGCTTCTCAGCGCCATCGTGTCTCTTTCACGTTCGGATCGCCCCATTCCCTCCAGGATGGCGACGAACGTCTTATGCAGTGCGATCGGCCCCTCAGCGCCATCGTACCTGGCTTCACGGTTCGGCTCGCCCATTCCCTCCAGGATGGCGACGACCGTCTTATGTAGCACGATCGGCTTCTCAGCGCCATCGTGTCTCTTTCACGTTCGGATCGCCCCATTCCCTCCAGGATGGCGACGAACGTCTTATGCGGTGCGATCGGCCCCTCAGCGCCATCGTACCTGGCGTCACGGTTCGGCTCGCCCATTCCCTCCAGGATGGCGACGAACGTCTTATGCAGTGCGATCGGCCCCTCAGCGCCATCGTACCTGGCTTCACGGTTCGGCTCGCCCATTCCCTCCAGGATGGCGACGACCGTCTTATGCAGCACGATCGGCTTCTCAGCGCCATCGTGTCTCTTTCACGTTCGGATCGCCCCATTCCCTCCAGGATGGCGACAAACGTCTTATGCAGTGCGATCGCCCCCTCGACGCCATCGTACTTGGCTTCACGGATGGCGACGACCGTCCTATGCAGCACGATCGGCTTCTCAGCGCCATCGTGTCTCTTTCACGTTCGGATCGCCCCATTCCCTCCAGGATGGCGACGAACGTCTTATGCAGTGCGATCGGCCCCTCGACGCCATCGTACTTGGCTTCACGGTTCGGATCGCCCCATTCCCTCCAGGATGGCGACGAACGTCTTATGCAGTGCGATCGGCCCCTCGACGCCATCGTACTTGGCTTTACGGATGGCGACGACCGTCCTATGCAGCACGATCGGCTTCTCAGCGCCATCGTGTCTCTTTCACGTTCGGATCGCCCCATTCCCTCCAGGATGGCGACGAACGTCTTATGCAGTGCGATCGGCCCCTCGACGCCATCGTACTTGGCTTCACGGTTCGGCTCGCCCATTCCCTCCAGGATGGCGACGACCGTCTTATGCAGCACGATCGGCTTCTCAGCGCCATCGTGTCTCTTTCACGTTCGGATCGCCCCATTCCCTCCAGGATGGCGACGAACGTCTTATGCAGTGCGATCGGCCCCTCGACGCCATCGTACTTGGCTTCACGGTTCGGCTCGCCCATTCCCTCCAGGATGGCGACGACCGTCCTATGCAGCACGATCGGCTTCTCAGCGCCATCGTGTCTCTTTCACGTTCGGATCGCCCCATTCCCTCCAGGATGGCGACGAACGTCTTATGCAGTGCGATCGGCCCCTCGACGCCATCGTACTTGGCTTCACGGTTCGGCTCGCCCATTCTCTCCAGGATGGCGACGACCGTCCTATGCAGCACGATCGGCTTCTCAGCGCCATCGTGTCTCTTTCACGTTCGGATCGCCCCATTCCCTTCCAGGATGGCGACGAACGTCTCTTATGCAGCACGATCAGCGCCCCAGCGCCATCGTGTCTGGCTCACGTTAGGGTCGCCCATCCCTTCCAGGATGGCGACGAACGTCTCTTATGCAGCACGATCAGCGCCCCAGCGCCATCGTGTCTGGCTCACGTTAGGGTCGCCCATCCCTTCCAGGATGGCGACGAACGTCTCTTATGCAGCACGATCAGCGCCCCAGCGCCATCGTGTCTGGCTCACGTTAGGGTCGCCCATCCCTTTCAGGATGGCGACGAACGTCTCTTATGCAGCACGATCAGCGCCCCAGCGCCATCGTGTCTGGCTCACGTTAGGGTCGCCCATCCCTTTCAGGATGGCGACGAACGTCTCTTATGCAGCACGATCAGCGCCCCAGCGCCATCGTGTCTGGCTCACGTTAGGGTCGCCCATCCCTTTCAGGATGGCGACGAACGTCTCTTATGCAGCACGATCAGCGCCCCAGCGCCATCGTGTCTGGCTCACGTTAGGGTCGCCCATCCCTTTCAGGATGGCGACGAACGTCTCTTATGCAGCACGATCAGCGCCCCAGCGCCATCGTGTCTGGCTCACGTTAGGGTCGCCCATCCCTTTCAGGATGGCGACGAACGTCTCTTATGCAGCACGTCTGCCCCTCGGTGCTGACATGCCCGTTTTATCGATGAGAGCCACCGCTTTCTATCACATCTCACATTCCTTCTCTCATACATTGCACTCATACATTACATGCATTCATGCATTCATGCATCATACCTCATACATTCATACATACACACGTGCATCATGTTTTGACAGTACCGCGATGTCGGTTTATAGATGCATGGACCTCTAAGCTTCTCCGTTGGAAAGCTCGAGTCAGAGTCCTTTACTCTCGCCTGATGCATTCAGGGGGAGCGTGCCCGTGGAGGAGCACCTTTCGCCCGACCCCATCGGGAACGGGGGTGCCTCACCGGCAGATTACGTTCAGGAGTGTGGACATCCACTCATATATTATGATTATTCGAAGACACAGGTTCCAGCTAGACCGAGGTAAAGCGCAGGCAAGAGTATATTTTCTCGAGCAGATTCGCACGCTCACTACTCAAGAAACTGGGGGACTTGTGTTGGGATATATTATCCCGGCCTATTACTGTTCAAGAGCCCAAGATATTATCCAGTACGGAGCCTGAACAGTTAGGACCATTTCGGCCCATCCGGCCCACTTTAGCCTTTGGGCCTGTTTCGGCCCACTTGGCCCATTAGGGTGGAGAGTACTTCCCATCCCCTTTCCTTATAAATATGGGGGTTTCCCTCCATATGAAGGATCCCCTTTTTCCTCCTTCTTCATCCTTCTTCTTCTCTAGATTATATAATACTCCATTAATGGGAGCTTCAAGCTTGTATAATGTAATGGTGAGGAGAGCCTAATGAGAATTGAGAGGGCTTGGACATTAGCCTAAAAAGTCCCGTGGTTTTCTCCCTTTCGGGTTTCCACGTAAAAACTGAGTTGTTCATACACATTTATACATATATTTACTATATCGTGTTGGATTAAACTCAACAGAGATATTTAGGCCAGTCTGCTTTATTGCTTAAATATTTACTTTTGTACGTAGTATGTTTTAGTGTGCTTTGAATTTATAAATAACAAGTAGGATTGAAAATTGGTTATGTGGTATCATTTGGGCAAACGGTTACCTGTGGATAAACCGATTCCCCGTTGGGGCGGGTATGGTTCAAATAAAAATTACCCGAACGGGTAATGGGGCGGTTTTGGGGCAAACATTTATCTAACGGGGCGGTTTCGGTTTTATGTGTACCCGTTCCCGATCCGCCCTGTTGCCATCCCTAATTATAATCAGGCACAACTATTTGGAAAATTTTTCACTGCAATTTTTTTTTTTCGGATGGTGTAAAAAATATCATAAAGTTGTTCATTGTAATTGCAACGTTAGTCAGTGAGAATGCTTGATATCAATCCAATAATGCTCCAGACAAAGTTGATGTATTTAATAATATAATATTCCGTCCGTTCCATTTTACCTATTCTACTTTCTTTTTGGTTTATTCCAAAATAAGTGTCTCCTTTCCTTTTTTGGAAAGAACTATGTTCTACATCATTTCACTTTATTATACTCAAACCTCAACCACAACTTTTACTTTTTCAACTACTTCATTAATAATCGTGTCAAGTCGAACTAAAATACATAAAATGGGACGGAGGTAGTACTATGTATATATTTGTGATCAAAATGGTACTACGTATTGATTTGGATTTGAATTTAATAAAGAGACATATAGAAGTAAATATTACTACCTCTATCCCACTAATATCCAGATATAAGGAGGTTAATGAGAAAATTGGGTTTATCGGGTTAATATTGCATTGATAAAACAAATATAAAGTAAAAATGATTTAGAGTTACACCAACTTTACCAAATACTACCTCCGCCCCATTTGACGATACCATTGTGGTTTACGAAGTTTGACTGGCGATAAAGCAAACGGATCGATCCCTGTCTGCACTCAAATTATTTTTAGAGAAAAGTTAAATATTCAGAAACTACATTAAAAACTCTATAAAATCGCAAACACCTGGATTAAATTTGATTAAAAATTAATACATAAAGTAAGAAATTAAGAGTGATTTGTGTTGACCAATGGAGAGAGATGGTACCATCAAATTGGGACGGAGGTAGTATGATACATATACGTAGTATAAGACAATCTTAGTAGGTTTTCAGAAAAAGAAAAAATAAGACAATCTTAACGGGAGAGAGAAGAACGTAACACAAGTATTACATAAGTACTAGAAGTGTTTTTCTGGGCATGGAGCGGGGGCGCTTGCCCCGCCATGACCCTCCCTAGGTCCTGCGCTGATACACAGAGTCTCCAAAGAGGCGGGCAGCCGTCCGAGAGATATCTTCCCATATATATGGTTGGACATCAAGCGAAGGGTTCTTATGATCGGGAAATTGCGGTTGTTGAAGACGGCCGGGAAGGTGCCGTTAAGGTTGCAATAGACGGCGGAGAAATAAGTGAGGTTGGAACAGGTCTTCAGACCATCAGGGATCTGCCATGGGGGAAGGTGTGGGTTGTAGTCTAGAGAAACGTAAGTCAGTGTAGGATTGATGTCGAATAGATTGGGCGGGATTGAAGTGAAGGAGTTTCCATCAATGAGGAGGTACAAGAGACCGACCGACCCCTTAAAGTCGGGAATCGGCCCGGTGATGCGGTTCCCCCTCACATCGAATACCTGCAATTTGGTGAGGTTTCCCAGACTTGCGGGCAGAACCCCGCTGAGATTAAAGTCCACAATGATTACACCTAAAACCGAGCTCTGAGGGATATCGCAATGCACGCCTGTCCAATTGCACTTGTCCATCATCGGATTCCAAGTGCCGTCACCAACGCTAAGACTCTCCTTCAGCTCTTGGATTACTGCGGCCTCATCATCCGACAGAGCCGCCGCTGCCGCCGTTACAGCAAAGGAGGCGAGAAATAGATGAATAGTAACTTGACCGCACCACCACGAACCCTGCCCGTGTTTCTTCATTCCCTCCGGCCGTCTAAAATGGATTGAATTTCACTACACCCACCTACCTCACGAGTCATGACATGCGTATATATAGAAAATTTGGAGTAAAAGATAGCATAGTGTCATTTTACATGTTGTACTTTGATTTGACATAATTATTAATGAAATGGTTAAAAAGTAAAATTTATGTATGAAATTAGAATATACTCCGTAATAAAGTAACATGTCGCAGATCACATATTTCATTCTAAAATATGAAGCAAAACACTTATTTTAAAACAATTCAAAGAAGAAAGTAAGGCATGCGAAATTGAACGGGGAGACTAACCGTTTAAATTTCCTCATGTAACACTACACTTATATTCTTGGCAGAATAGGATTCATGAATTACTATCTAGGGAGTTTTTTAGACAAATTTAGTATGATCAAGCTAAGCTACCGTACCACACCTTCTCTAATCCACATAGATAATTAGGGGTGGACTTTGCGCTAAAATGTTGGGTTTTTAAAACTAATTTATCATTAAAATATTGGACAATAATATTCTTTAACCCAACACTTGAAATTATGTAACTTTTTCACTAACAAAAGACTAACACATAAGGTTATGTGGAAGAAATATTATTTAAAAAAATACGATATACATAGTACTACGTATAATTATTGGATCAACTCTATACATGTATTTTAAATTGTATTTTCTAATTTTTGTGTATTCACGTGAACTCGAAGATATATATAGAGATCCGACCCTAACATGAACTAATTACAATATTATAATCCAATTATTTAAAGAAATAAATGATAACATGATCACTAAAACCAATAAAAAAACTAACGATAGCATTAGTGACCAAATTTTATTCTTTTGTTCTTGGGAAAAGGTGCAAATAGGCCCATGTACTAACAAAAAAGGTCAAATAAGCCCTTATTTAGGAGGTTCTGTCCGGCCGGCGTCATTTGGGGTGGTTCCCGGTGGAATTTTTTGATGAAATTTTTTGAGTATCTTATTCATCAAGTCTAGTTTACTCATATCAAATTTCAGCTAAAACTTCAATCGGGAAGACATTCAAATGAATTCTTGAAAATAACTGCACACTTAGAAGCACAATTATCTTCAAGAATTCATTTGAATGCTTTCCCGATTGAAGTTTTAGCTGAAATTTGATATGAGTAAACTAGACTTGATGAATAAGATGCTCAAAAAAATTCATCAAAAACTTCCACCAGGAACCACCCCAAATGACGCCGGCCGGACAGAACCTCCTAAATAAGGGCTTTTTAACTTTTTTTGGTTAGTATATGGGCCTATTTGCACCTTTTCCCTTTGTTCTTTAAACTGAACTTAACAAGTCCCGATAAAAGTAAGAAATCTTATTACTTCATTTTAGAATTCTTTTAAATTTTAACGTGTGCAGTGACGCACTGATGAAGTGATCAATTGAATTTGTAAGGCCCGGGACGAGCGAATGTCGGCGGCATAAACGGCATAAAGTTTATAGAAAGTTCTATAAACTTATTACTCAATCATACGCACGTTTTTTTTTTAATTTGAAAATACAATCATACGTAGTATTTTTATGGCTTACAAAAAGTACAATTTAATTTTTAAAGCAACACTATATTACTCCGTACTTTTTAAAAAATTAACGCCATATTAATGGATGTGTGTAAACCATTGATAATATTAAGCCTGAGAATGAACAAAAAAGATTTTGATTAGAAACGTGTATTAAATCTTCTCATTACGAAATTATAATCATAATTAAATAAGGATAATACTATTTTGAATTTTCGATATAAAATTTATTGATGTAACAACAAATCATTACGAGGATGTACCTACCATACGGTAAACACAATGTTTTCTAGAACAAATAATTTTATTATGTATAAAAAATAAACCCGTTGGCATAAAAGGTTGGTATACAAAAAAATGTACTAAATTTATACTCATAAATCTAAAGAGAACTTTTTAAACTCAATAAGTTATCTTGAACAGAACCCTGGATTTATGGGGCCCCAAATTTTTAAAAAATTATTAGTATTATATAGTAATATTATATATTAATACTAATCAGTAAAATACAGTTACCTTATAAGGAAGAAAAATATAGACCCATCATTTTCCCTTTGGTGCTTTTACTCTTTTAGTTTTCTTATAATGAGTATCCAATGGATTTGAGTATAAGTATTTGGATTTAGTTTTTTTTATTATTATTATAATGTGGGGCCCCGATTTTACATTTTGAACTGGGACCTCCAAATTTATTAGACGGCCCGCCCTGCTATAAATATGTCCTTATGCACACCGTCCTAAATTCCTAATTAATTTTTGGCTAAAGGGTCAAATAGGTTCATGTACCTTTCCGGATTGCTCAATTTGCCCCCTGAACCCAAAAAAGCTCCAATTAGCACTCTGAACTCGATAAAAAGATTCAAGTTTCACTTGAGCAGGTCATAAGCCAGTCATTGCCACGTCACCCGGTAGGGTGCCAACTGTGCACGTGATGTGGCAACTAAGGGGGTCAAATAAGCCCCTGAACCGACCGAATCGTTCAATTTACCCCCTCAACCCTAAAAAATGTCAAATTTTAAAAATTAAATAAAAATAATAAATAATAAATATAAAATAAAATTACAAATAAAATAAATGTCTAAATATAATATATATTAATATGAAATATTTACCGTTCACAGTAAATTCAAAATAAAAAGAAAAATATAAACTAAAAAAATCTTTAAGTTTATTTCCATATTTTATAACTACTACGTATATTTCATATAATTAAACAATGTGTTTTATTTTTTACCAACTATATTTAAAGTTTTATTTTATGTATTATATCTAATGGTTTGTAATAAAACATAAATTTTAGGTTTTTGGTTTGATAATTTATACAAAGCATTATGTTTAAATTATCCATTTGTATTTTTTCGTTTCATATTTCTTAATTTATTTAAAAATATACAAAAAATAAATATACAATTCTTATGTAACTATTGTTGGTCCCGTTTGATTAGGTAATCAGTCTAGAGGGGGGTGAATAGACTGATTCAAGTTTTTCAACTTTTCTCTAAGTCAGAGTTGACTTATCAGAGAGGGTCGAGTTCTGATGATCAGAACTGGTCTTGCAGCGGATAAGAGTTCCGGGTAGCCTCAAACAAATGCTAAGGCAAGTGCCTTTCTGATAACTCTGAGATCAAGATCTGCTGAACACAGATTCCAAATCTTAGAGTTAAACAGTTAGAGTCCTAAGTGCAGAAAGTAAATGACACCGGAGTTTTTATAGTGGTTCAAGGAACAACGCGTTCCTCTAGTCCACTGTTCCACTAGCTTTGAAGTAAACGGTTACAAAGCTTTAGTTCCCTAGCACTTAAGAAGCTCTCCACGTCTTCTTCAAGCCTAGTTGTCACCCGGGATGCAGTCCTGCTTCCT